CAGGCTCCGGCGGCGGGGCAGCTCAGGCGCGCCTGGGATGCCCCGCCGCCAGCTTCCCCCGAGGCTTTGCAAAGCCGCATACCCAGCGTATAAGACGACCCCCGATTTTGGGGGGATGTTTTTTAACATCAAAAGTCGTCTTATATGCCGGAAAATACGGTAGCCTGATCTTTGGTATCGCTGCCCCAAATAACTGGTTCCTCCCACACACTGTTATACTGGGAAGTCCAAGATAATATTTCTGTGAGCACAACTACACAGCTGGGCTAAAGCTGAAATAAGACGCGCAACTTGAGCTACGGCAGTTTAAGTTGAAAGCTACACAGCAGGAAGTCCAAGAAGGAACACTTTTCCTCCAACTCCCCTACTCCCTGTAAAATGAGGGTTACAGGAGTCAGAGTAAGAAGTACTCCAGTTTGCCATTATTTTGACATTATGTTGACATACCTGCTTGCTGTGTAAACACAGACTATGTTATTTTGGAATAACGTCACTTATTCTGAAATAATGCTGCTGTGTAGACATAGCCTGAGTATGCTATGGATAGTAACATGCATATCCTCCTTGCCAACTCATCTGGCTTCTCTGATTTTATAATGGTGCTTCTGCTGATTTGAAGCAGGAAAGGCTCTAATGTCCAAACAATGAGCACATTCTTTTTTTTTTTTTTTTTTGGTGTGGTGCTGTGAGACATATGTATGCTGTTCTTAGAGCTATAAAATATCCAGGGCTATCTTCCCTTATCCACTAATGTAAGCAGAATTTAACCTGGGCAAGCCTACTGATTCCTGAGTAATCAAATGCTGTTTTCAATATTATTTTATGCAACAAGTCCCTCAGAAATGTAAAATCCAAGTGAAATTCCAGGGTGGGGACCACATGGAATAAATTCTGAGGGAACCATGCTGTGACATTTGCATCCTGAGCCTCCACCAGTGTTTTAAGATTGCATAGCTCTAAGGACATCTGCTGATTTCTTCTCTCTGCACTGTTGTGGGTGGCTGCAAATCTCCTCCCCACAAAGAGGGCAATCCTAGTGATCCTCCACATGATCAACCTCATGGAGTTTCCAGTGCAACCAATCCCTTTCTGGGATCTTTTTCCCCCCAGAAAAGACCAGTACTGCCCAATGAAAAGAGGGTAGGCTCTATATTTGCAATCAGTGAAAGATGAAATTCTAGACAATTTAGGGAAGTAGTTTTCAAAGATTATTAGAGAAAAAATGCCAATTTCTGGATCTTGGACACCAGCTGATAGTATTTCCCCTGAAATAAATCCCTATAACAGGAGTGACAGTGGCTCTTTAAAACAGCTGGGCCAGTGGTCTGGTGGTTTCTCTGTCCACTCATGCTTGGCCAATTAATTTGGCTTTAGAAAGGGCACCTGTGCTCTAGGTGAGACCTGTCAGGCAGAGATCTGGTGAGTCAGGGCCTGGCTCAAATAGAAGAAGAGCAGGCGATTGTGCATTTGTTTACACTGCACCCTTTCCTCGAAATAGCTTATTTCAAAATTTGGTGTTGTCTACACAGCACAAGATTTCAAAATAAAGTGCTATTCCAAAATGTCCCTTAATTGTCATGGAACGAGGTTTACAGGGATGTCAGAATAGCAAGCCCATTATATTTGAAAATAACAGGCACACTCAAAAGATGCAGAATAGCTATTTTCAGATACTTCTGGTATCCTGAAATAGCTCTGCAGTGCAGATGTAGCCTACGGGTATGTCTACATGAATCTGTCGACGGAGCCATGTAGATTTGTTTACTCGGCAAAGGGAAATGAAGCTGCGATTTAAATAATTGCGGCTTCATATAAATCAAAATGGCCGCCGCACTGTGCCAATCAGCTGATTGTTGGCACAGCGTGGCAGTCTTACGGGGATCTGCCGACCCCAGAACCCTTCGTCATCAGATTCTGTAAGCCTCATTTCACGAGGCATAAGAGATCTGCCGACGAAGGGTTCTGGGGTCGGCAGATCCCTGTCTAGACTGCCGCACTGTGCTGACAATCAGCTGATCGGCACAGCATGGTGGCCATTTTGATTTAAATGAAACCACGATTAAATTTCCCTTTGCCATCCTGACTAATCTACATGGCTTTGTCGACGTAGCCATGTAGTTTAGACACACCCTAAATGTTTGGGAGCAGGAAGAAGGCTGACGGCAGGACAGAAGCTAGAGGAATTTGCTGGTTGATTTCCTCCAAGATAGAGAGCTTGAGTCAAGGGCTGAAAATAGAAGAAGCAAAGAAACTTACTTGTTGATATCTGTAGTCCCAGAATGCTGGAGCCTGAGGGAGAGTGAGGTTTTCTTTCTTGGTAAGGAGGTACCTAGTCACGAGGCTGTGGCTGTTCCCAATGGTGTGGTGCTTCGTAATTGCGGTTGGAAGGGCTGGAGTGACAGAGCCAGGCTTGAAGTGGACTGACAGAACCTGAGCATGGATGAAGAGTTCCACGAGGAGTTCCATGAGGAGTACCGGTAGTTCGAATTAGAGATCCTAATTTGAACTCCCTACTCCATGCCGCATGTAGCCGTGGGCACGGAGTTCGGACTAAGGGACATTTAAAAATTGGGATATTTAAATCCTGGGCTTCATTTGCAACTTCGAATGCCTACATTAGCCACCCTAGTTCGAACTAGGGGGCTAGTGTAGACATACCCAGACAGACATTCCAAGTGTGCCCCCTGCTTGGGAGAAGCACACATTCCTCAGAAGTGCTCCCACTGCCACAATCTTAAGGCTCATGCCAGAAAAGTCAAGGACCTTAAACTAGAATAAATCCCTATGCAGAAGTCTCTTTGCCAATCATCTCACCGGGGACTGTGAGAATTAGCGTTTTGCTAATTCGAACTAGCATGTCCACACAGAGTGGACCCTGAACCGGGGTTAAGGATGGCCGGAAGCAGTGCCGGCAGGGCATCAGAGGAGGACTTAGAGCGTGGAGATGCTGCCTCAGGCTAGCCGAGGGCTGTGCTTAAAGGGACCCGACCCCCACCCCTGACAGACAGTTCTCAGGGGTGCCCCACTTGCAAAGCAGTCCTGTCTTGGAGTGCCCGGAGTACCCACACTGGGCACATCACAGCACTCGGCCATCAGACCGGCTGCACTTGCCGCAGGCTACCATCTGGGGAGAGGGGGCAATTGGGGGGCTGCAGGAGAGCTTCCACCCCCAGAAGCCCGCAGAGCCAGCCCAGTCCTCCCCATCGGGGGCTCGTACCCCATTCCTCCCTCACCTCCTTCCACTTACTCTTCCCTAGTCCCCCTTCGTGATGTACAAAATAAAGAAAACGTGTGGTCA